TGTGTGTGTTTTTATATATATATATATCTATGTGTGTGTGTGTCTTTATATATATATGTGTGTGTGTGTGTCTTTATATATATATATGTGTGTGTGTGTTTTTATATGTATATGTGTGTGTATGTCTTTATATATATATGTGTGTGTGTGTCTTTATATGTGTGTGTGTATCTTTATATATATATGTGTGTGTCTTTATATATATATGTGTGTGTGTGTGTCTTTATATGTATATGTGTGTGTGTATGTCTTTATATATATGTGTGTGTGTGTCTTTATTTATATGTGTGTGTGTGTCTTTATATATATATGTGTGTGTGTGTGTCTTTATATATATATATGTGTGTGTGTGTGTGTCTTTGTATATATATATATATGTGTGTGTGTGTGTGTGTCTTTATATATAAAATAAGCATTAAGAAGATTTTGGTAAACAATCCATTGTCAATCCTAGTTATTAAATTAAAGTGATAACGGACAATGCCTATGGTGATAGTTCCAAAATGCATTGGGAATATCCCATCTACCAGACAAAATCCAAGCGCTGATACTAAACTAGCCAACACGCATGGAAAATCAATTAAGGGTAAGGAGTTGAGTGATTATACCCATAACGTCTCAACTCCTACTGCCTTTCACTGTCTGGCTCAACTCCATAACTTTAATTGATTCTCCATGCTTTGGATTTTGTCTGGTAGATGGGATATCCCCGACGAATTTGGGAGCTATTACCACAGGCATTATTCATTATGACTTTAGGGTGTCAACTACGTTTAATAATGTTTTTTACTAAAATCTTCTTAATGCTTATTTTACATTCAGTTAATTATTGTTTTACATTGCTGATTTTAATCGCCTATTAACAATTAATGTAATTGATAGTGTTGAGGCCATTTATTTCATTATGTCTTCATATATACACATATGTCTTTACATATATATATATGTGTGTGTGTCTATATTATATATATATTATATATACATATACAAAGACATATATATATACATATACAAAGACATATATATATACATATACAAAGACTATATATATATATATTCAATTATTTCACCAAGTGTCGTAATTACTCTTTTTTCCTTTTCTAAAATTATTGCTCTTATATTTCTTCTTCCGTAAACATAATTAGCTGATTAAAATCCAAGGATGATATAAATGCTGAAAACAACTTGATTTTTTTTCCCATTAATTCAATTTATTTCTTACTTCATTAATTTTTTAGCGCACACACACACACGTACGCAGCAGACTGTCTGCTCTTGTTTATGTTGGGGAATCGATCGAACCACGGATTTTAGTTCTGTAAGTATGTAAACATGTCGCTTATCTACTGGGGACCACACCGTTCGGATTTAACTTTGAAATTTCATCCTTTGAAATACTGCGTTTAACCTCAACTATTTACCTCAATTTTTCGGTATAAGAATAATTCCAGTTGACGTGATTTTTGACTCTCTTAAGATTTAAGAGGTTAGTTTTCACAACTATCGACATATAAGACAAAATAAAATTATTATGGGGAAAACCAGAACTTCTTTTGAAATACATAGCAAACTTGTTCTTAAATCCAACCTTAAGAAGAACAGAGATAAAATGTGAAACAGGAACATTTTTTAATCCTAAGTGTTTTTAGCTACCTTAATTATATACGAGTGCTTTCGAAAAAACTATTCTTCTTCAGGAGAATAAAGAAGAAGAATAGTGAATTATTTGAAAGCGCTGGAATTTTGGATCTCGTTTGAAAACCATTACAACTTTTGTATGTGAACCTGTGTGCTAGCTTTTTACTCACAATTAATTATGGGAATTTCATAACAAAGTTTAACTGAAAATTAAAAAATATGTATATTTCTTAAAAGAACAACAAATGTGTCGATAACTTTAAATTGTATATATTTAGGTATTAACGTATTGCCTAGTCAAAAAAATAATAGGCTAAGAGTAGAGAAATTGACCTTATTGTGAATAGGTTAGTAGTTAAATTCTGGGCTTTAGCTCTACAAAGTATGCGTACTTCATAGCTGCAGGGCCCGTCATAGCTAGGTGGCTAAGACGCTCGACTCGCAATCTGCGGGTCGCAGGTTCGAATCACCAAACATGATTGCCCTTTCAGCCGTAGGGGCGTTATAATGTGCAGGTCAATCCCACTATTCGTTGGTAAAAGAGTAGCCCAAGAGTTGGCGGTGGGTGGTGGTGACTAGTTGAATTCCCTCTAGTCTTACACTACTAAATTAGGGACGGCTAGCGCAGATAGCCTTCGTGTAGCTTTGCGCGAAAATCAAAACAAACAGCACAGTTGCATTATGTTATGAGCTTAACATCTTTGACAGCAGAGGGCGTAGCAAGGACTACGATGTTTTGGGAGACATAGCGAAAATAACTAACTTATTCTAACAAAAATGTAGATAAAATAGACAATTAACGCCAAAGGCAAAGATCATCAACATGTCTCTATGTGAGATTAAATATTGTAAGCATATGTTGCTTCATTAATAATAACTAAAATTATAATTTCAATATGCTGTCGTTTGGAAAACATTTAATTAGTTATTTAAAATTATTACATAGAGAAAATAATAATATTATGCTAATGTGAAAGTTTTAAATTTTCCAAGCCTTAGCTTTGTCGTTGTATAAAAGAAACTGTTCATTATGACTAAAATTTAATCACAGCACTTAATGACGTGAAAATTTATTTCTGTTGGTGCTTTTTTTTATACATTTTATTATGAACCAGGATAGTGGTTCATAAAAGGGATCGCCCAGGAATTTCACAAAAATCCTGATAAAAGTACAGTCAAATACCATCTTACGAAACAGGCTTGTTTTTGAACGAACACTAAAGACCTTCTGTCTCAATGGATTAAGAATATTGATAATATAGAATATAGAATATTGATAATAGCAAAAAAGTTGATTTTCCGATTGTTAGACAATACTAATGAATGCAGTGTTGAGAATGTCATTGGGTAGTTTTAAAATTAATTCAAGCGCCTTCGTTTTTCCACCCTGAAGAATTTCTCTAAGTTCTTCACTTTCTGCTATTGCAAAATTCCTGTGTTTTATTAATGCGAATTAATTAGAAAATAATTTGTGAAACTTGTAACGCATTAACTGGAAACTGCCACTTTAAGGATTCATCATCTCTCCAGTTCGCTGTTGTAGTTTGTTTCTACGTAGTTTTCTGAGACTATTTTAGTGAATTTTCTAACAGTACATAATTAACATAATATATTTCTCTACGCTTGTGATTAGTAATTTATCTTACTGATTTCTTACTTCGCTGAAACTTCGAGTGCGTATTTTATTAATTTTGGTTCACAAGCTTACAACAAAATCGGCTAGATATTTTGCAACAAATCCTAGACAGATATACTACATAAAATGCTGCGAATGTGCATGACCTATTTCAAAAGTTGATTATTTTTCATTGAAGGTTGATTTACGTGGCTATAAATGCTTAATATATGCGATGTTGTTGTGAGCGGCTTCCTTCGTACTCGACGCATGTTAAACGTGTGTTTACCCGAAACCTCAGACGCAAAAACACTTGTCTCACTAAATAATGGTTGGGTGGAAGAAAAAGCCAATGTAGCAGTAAACTGTTGAAAAACATGTAACATTCAACTGAATGCATATGCATATATTCTTCATAAATTGGCATAAAAACTTAAGAAACAAGATAATTAAAAATTGTTAATTTCAAAAGGGGAATAGGGTTCGTCAAATAGGTACAGAAACAAGTTGGATCAAAATGCAAATATTATATTTTCAAGCCAACAACTATGGACTCTAAAAATGTAAACAAAATAGGCTGGAAATAGTGTATATATTATTTTCTCAAGCTAAAAAAACTCTATTTTTACTCCATGTTCACAGTACTTATCAATTTTAGTGGAGTAAAAAATAGAGATTTTAATTGTTGTTTGAAGTTAAGCACAAAGCTACACAATGGGCTATCTCTTCTCTGCCCATCACGGTTATCGAAATCCGGTTTATAGAGTTGTTAGTCCGCAGACATACATTGTGCCACTGGGGGCCAAATTAGGGATTTGTAGCTTGAAAAAATAATATAGACACTATTTCCAGCCTTATTTGTTTACTATTTTTTTAGAGTAACTAGTTGCAGGCTTGAAAATATAATCTTTACATTTTGATTCAACTTGTTTCTGTACTTTTTTGACGAACCCTATTCCCCTTTCTTAAATTAACAATTTTTAATTATCGCGTGTTAATATATAGTGGTACTAATTTAGATTACTGATTCTATTCAAACCTATTGATCATATATGTTTACCCTAAGCTATTTTTCAAATCAAGCATAATGATATCACAGTTTCATCACTCCTAGAAGATTCAATCTATTTACAGTCAAACGTGATTTTAGTCTCATTTATTAAACCTAAAGAATACCTAACTGTTTTATGAATGACCTTTCGATCCCTCGAATATAATAAGTATTTTAGTAAGTAACTATGTTTATATACATTTGGTATCTTCATAGAATGTTTTCCAAACAAACTTACCATAGATCCTTCATCAATGGAATCTAAATTTAAAACCCATACATGGAATCGCACAACAGTAGGCTCGCCTGAATATAACAAAATGTTCATTAATAACCTAGAAATATAAATATTATTAAAATGAAAAAAGTTTCATTAATTATACGCAAGGAATATAACTGTTAAAATCAATGAACAATTAAAATAAATTTTTGATAATATTTTAAACTGATAATCAACCTTAATAAATAAATCTACGTCTTTTTCATGGGTTTTCTAAGAGCTTTAATATAATTTAAGAATGGTGATTCTTTTTGTTAATTACTACTACAGGAATTAGGTACCAATTCAGTAACATTAAAAACTTTAAAAGAATACAAAGAACGTGAGTTATCACTTCAAAAACTTAGACACGATTCATATAACAAATTAGTTATCACAAGGTGTAATTTCAACAAATTCAGATAACAATCTCATGAATGTGAGATGTCAGTTGCACAAGCTAAAGTAGTATTTATGTGATAACATGATAAAAATCTCAGGTAGATACAATGCAAAACATTATTTATGTAATAACATGATAAACATCTCAGGTAGATACAATACAAAACATTATTTATGTAATAACATGATAAACATCTCAGGTAGATAAAATACAAAGCATTATTTATGCTACAACCGCGTTGCATAGACATGTTTTTTTTTATTCTGGTTTCTGAAACAGGAGCTCATTGTTTCAAATAATATATCTTTATTACATTCTTTATTAAGCAGTACGATAATTTATGTCTTAGCTTTTTTGAGTTACAACAATGTTGTACACCAATAAATAACGGATAAATATATACTGCATTAACATACCCACCTGAAACTGTTTGATATATTTTAAGGTTGCCCAGGTGTGCAGTAAATACTTCACTCTACTAAAATTTATATTTTGAGAAATTCATTCACTTGCAAACAAAAAAAACGCCATGACAAGTTAAGAACTTTATTTTAATATAAGTCTAATTCGGTCAACAATTAGAAGGATTATGATTAATTTACGTATTCAGGTTAACAGAGGGGAGGGTTATAATGGTTGTCATCTTCCACAAAATTGATAAAATCTATCAATCGTGGTAACTTATAATTCGTGTGCAGTAATAATTAGACCAGAAAAGCGTTATGCCTGAGGACGTATAACGCTAAAATTTGGGTTTTGATACCCATGGTTGGCACAGCACAAATTGCCCATTGTGTAGTTTTGTGTTTAACTACAAACAAACAGAAATGCCTTAAATAAATGCCACTTTTATAGAACCAAATTGGGGTAGTAATTTAAGTGTTAACCCTTTTACAAATTTGGAGAAAGAAACAAAGTGTCACATTTCTTAGATAAATTGTTGTAGTTATCAATAATCGTTCGACTTAGATTAAAGTTAATTTAGTAAAGAGTCCGAAAAGGAGTAATCAGTATTTTCTGAAGCTGAAATGGCAAGTCGGTTTTTATTTTTTGCACGTTTTAGATGCTTGCAACGACAGTCAGAATGAAAGATTTCAAGTTATTTTCTTTATTGCGACACCCTTGACCTCCGTTTGATAGCCCTACAGTATAAATTAGTGCTGTGAAAATATATATTTACTCAAATATTATCAGCTATTATTCATAAATTAAGCATGTGCTTTCAAGAATAAATTTTTGTGACGAAGAAACTGCACGATGCCAAACCCTCCTGTAATTTAGATTACGTTTTCCATCAACGTGTGGTTATATTATTGCCTTATGACTATATAATATTATTGCATTTTCTTGTGTTTCGAAATACAACTACACAAAACTGTTCAACATAATTACATTTTGTGGTGGTGGCTTCGTGTTTTATCAATATAATTATGAAAGGTTTCATACTCTAAATTCATGTTGACTAATAGTAAGGAAGAAATAGTTACGATTGATTTATTCGTTAAAAAAAACAAATATTTGTGGTTTATGAGAAAAAAAAATAGGTTTTTGTTGGTTTTTTTTTTTGCCAACGTGTATCAAAACTAAAAAGACAGCTACCAACTGAATTCTTTTTCCTTATTTCCTTCTCAATCAAAACATGTGAGAGACAACATTAAAACATTAAAGTAAAACTAGAGCAAATAAGTTTTTCAAGTGCACTGCTTTCACTGACAAATTCAAAGAATTAATACCTTCAGTTTGCGTCTCAACTCTAATATATTTTCCTGACATAGCAGAAAGTATTTATATGTTTAGTTAGGTTAGTGGCCAATAGTTGGCTTTAATGTACAAGTATTTAATTACACATAGTTTCATGTGTGAATGACAAGATTTCGTTTTTAATTTAAGTTCTTATTTTTCGTTTGATATTAATTTGACATCTACTTCTTAACTTTGATGAAGTAGAAAATAAATCATTCGCGAAGGAGATTTAAAAACTGATCTTAATTACAAGATGAAGAGTAAACAATGTCCTTAAATATTCAAATAAACTTTTGGCTGAGTTACAATTAATCTTTCTGACAGTGCCGTCAAGAGCGCCTACAGTTTCCTAAGTAAATATTAATCACTGAATTTTTTTCATTCATCAAATCTATAACCATGAACATATACATATCAGCAGCAGCAATATATCTTATCAGGGCTAAAAAAATACTGAAAATAATTTCTGAATAATTAAATTTTATTACGCACTATAAATTATGTTAGTTAACTTGTTCTCCGACCAAACGTTGGTGTTACAATTTATAACAGATTTAATACCGTGAATAAACTAAGCACAAACTAAAATCAGTGTTAGAGAGCAGACAAAATATAACTTTACTTGTTAAAAATCATCTTAGTTTATCCTAATAAGTATTCTTTATTTCAAGAATAATGAGGCTTTAGATTAGTTTAAAACGGTGGGCATTACCCAAACCCAACAGTGGCGTAGTTGATCGTGATTTCTCTTATGTGTCCAATAATATTCTTTCTTATATTATTGTATTTTTATCTAGAATATTTGGTTTGATTAAGTCATAGTTCCTTTGCAAAAAAAGTTGTAGATACAAGTCAATGAACCTTTCATGTTAGAAGCTGAAATAACGAAATATTTTTGACTGAGCCAGTTAATTAAGAAATGAGGGTTATATTTTATGCAGTATTATTTAAATGTTCCAATATATTAGTCAATATGCGTATTATCTTTCAAGAAGATTTTTTTTTAATATTCGCATCATTTAACAGACTGATTTTATGGACCTTACGATAATCAAACAACGTTTTGGACTTCATATCAAAAAGTTGTTATTCTGGATATAATAAAAAAATATATTTTCATCCTCTAGAACTGGTGCTAATCTAGTGAATCTGTTAATGAAAGTCACTCTGTAAAAATAAAACATAATCTTAGAATGATTGTTCAAACCCTATTCTAATACCAAATCTATTACAGCATTTTTCTAAAACTGATAAATATTTAGACATATATTACCTAACAAAGCTTGTTACAAAATTTCATGAACTGGTCATGTTTCCAAACTATAACAGTAATCGTAGATACACAACTAATTGTAATGGTTGCAAATGGGGTTTCTTTTTGTATTACGTCACTATGTCAACCGTTCAAATATAGTTTGAGTAATTTAAGTTTTGAGAGGAAAAAGATAAACATCTTATCAGAAGTCACTGCTACGAAACTAAATTAATTCCCTTTGTTTATTGTGATTACTACCACGATGAGACATAACGTCTACAAACAAAATATAAAGACAGAGGAATAATATTAAATTTTCTAAAAATAGTTTAGCTTCTGAGCAATATTTAATTTTGGCTACTAAGTTAATGATATTTTATCATTCCTTATCCTTGATGTATATTCATAGCCAACACTAATTATTCATTAAAATATTCATAAAACACCACTGTCTATCTTTAAGCATATTCAGTTCTTTCTATACACATATGCTGCTTTCTATACACACACGCACATATATATATATGCACACATACACACACATATATATATATATGCACACATACACACACATATATATATATACACATACACACATATATATATATATACACACACACACATATATATATAACACACATATATATATACACACACATACATATATATATACACACACACACACACATATATATATAACACACAACATATATATATATATACACACACACACACACATATATATATATATAAACTGTAACGTAACGTTTCATAATGGCTAGTGGTTGAATGGTCTGTGAATCCAAGGTTCGTAATTCGCGACCCTTTCCGCAAAAACCACGCGCCGTACTTTGGGTTCCTAAGATTGACAGTGAAATGCCACTATTTGATTATACAAGAGTAGCCGAAGAGTTGACTGAGAGCGTTGATGAATAGTTGACTTCTTTCTAATTTATAAGTACAAAATTAGAGACGCTATACGTAAATAGCTCTTGTGTAGCTTTGCGCGAAAGACTTAAACAAACTAACATAAACAATTTTCATTCCTGTAAAACTCCCCTTTTCTAGAAATATTAATTAAACGTTCGTTAAGTTTACAAAATTGTAGAATTTTTTTTGGGGGGGAGAGATTAAAACAAAATAAAAAGAAAAGAACAATAAACATCAGTACATGCCACTTACACAGTTGAGATAACAGGAACATCCTCTTTTCACGTGGCTAGCACAGGTTATATATATTGCTAACAGAAGCCTACAGACTGCCACTCTGATTACAGTGGAAAGATGAGAATAAAATTCAAAATTTAATAATTAATTTTCTTCAATTCTCTAAAATACAGGATATAGTGTGTAACAATATATAGTTTAATTATTCCTATAAAATAGCACAAATGAAATGAAATAATGGTGAAGCTGTTGGCTAAGCAACTTATTTCGTCCCACATTTACATATCACATGAAACCAATAACAAGACTTGGTTCAGAATTCCCAATCGTTATTTTAATACTTATGTAGACTTTTTTCCCGCCGTCTTACCGTATTCTTTTGGCGGCTGTAGATTGTCGTAGTCCCGAGGGTTTTCAGGAAGAATATTATCGACTTCCAGCACCTCCTGTCTGTTGATATATTTTTTAGTGATTAAAATAAAAATACTTTACGTTTAGTAGCAACTAACTTACTTAAGTAATTAAAAGTTTAAAAAACAATGATTAATGTTGCATACCTAAAATAAAAACGTAGTATGTACATTTATTTTTCCAATAATTTCATGAAATAGAAAAGCAGTATTTATAAACTTATCACAATATTATTTGGTATTTTACATAAGTTCTAAATTTGGTAACAAAAACTAAAAATCCAGTGATAATTCACATATTATTTTATCGATTGATATAAATTTTTGATTCAGTTTTGTTTGGTTTATGTATGAACAAAGAAAATGTCAGAATAGAAGAAAAAAAACTCAAAAGAGCATGCTAGCATGTTAGTCATGTTTCTTTTAAACTGGATGAACGGGCTCATTTCGTAAATCTATAAAGAAGGGGAAATAAATACTTTCATTTGCAAATTTCCAAACTCTCAAAGCCAAACTCGACTAACATGAAGTAGTTGCTTTTATGTGTTACCACCATAAGAATATGGAAGCAAAAATGATTTGCACATTGATATATATAAATTACTCAACAATAACACAGAAAACAATACTTTCTTCAACGCGACTAGCAAAGACACTAGAAGCATAACAATAATATGTTAGTCACCCGTTACATTGTTTCTACTGTTATCGTGTATAACGTCACTGTAAGCTGGTAAAAAAATATCACAATATTTTTTTGTCTTCTCGACCCTTTAGCAATGAAATTCTTTAACAATTAAATATAAATTGATTAAAGTTAAAAAGATAGCTTGCCAAAATAACCTTCAAGGAAAAATTGACAGTCAGATAATACTTTAATATTTCTGTTGACACTGCCACTGTATGCTTACTTCTATCCTACATTATCAACGAGTGAATGTTTAGGAAGACAGTTAAGTTCAAATATATGTAGTAAAAAATCTAGAGAAAGTAATAAAAGATTGGTTCTTTTTATTTCCTGTAATGAAACCAATAACCTTATATACAACGCGTAATGAGCATCAGAATTTTAGATCTGTCACAGTGAAAAATTATAGCTAGCTCTAAATGTGGACACTCATAAAACATTTTAATTTTTTATTTTACCATTTTATGACACCTATCTCAAAAACAAACTATTTTTACATTTGTCAGAATTAGTAAGTAAATATAGTTACTATTATTAATTATACTTTATATCAAACATCTAGTATATGTTTTGGCTAAAATCTTGAAATATTTATAGAAATACTATAATCAGAATAAAATAGAGATAGCCCCTAGGAGATCCTAGTTCAACCAGGGACCGCTCTTGTGCACATCACACGATCCATTACTTTAATCCGGAGAGTAATCAGAGGTTGGTTGTGTTGTAAATATATCTTCACAACTTTCATTAATTACAGTTCAGTTCTCCTTATAAGAAAAACATTCGCGCTGTAAAGAACATCTCGCCAAAAAAAAAGGAACGAAAAAAAAACGTTATATGCTTGCAATAACCCGCGTGTAAGTAAAATAACGGCAATGCTAAACAGTGCATTGTTATTTAAAAATTTGTTTTTTAAGATATAACTCTAAGTACGTCTTACATACTTATCATGCGTTACACAGTGCAGTGTGTGTGTATATAAGTATTGATGTCCTGTGACTTAGTGTTTTAGTTTCATTTTTGATATTTTAATGGCAAGAAAAACAAGGAAATTTACCTCTAGGAAAGAATGTTTTGTTTACAAGTATGTAATGATTTGCTCTAATCGTATAACAACAGCAGAGAAAACCATTGATTCCATCCAGCCCCCCCCCCCCCCCCCACGTGGTACAGCGGTATGTCTGTGGACTTCTACTGCTAGACTACTGGGTTTCGATCGCTGGGTTGTGTAGCTTTGTGCTTAATAACAAACAACAACAACAATGTGTGATCCACTTACATGATATCATATGTACATGGTGTGCGTGATCCAGCTACATAAAGTGAAGTGATCATTAGAATGGTTGATAATGTCACTTAAAAAAAGTGGCAAAAAGTAGGAAATATATTGAAGACAAAAACATACCTGGATATCTTCAGACAGTAAAGGAAGATATAGGTGCGTAAAGTTGCACGAAACTTCTGCATTTTCTTCTTTTCACTGAATAGGTGAAAAAAGACTGAAAAAAATTATTAATTATTCTATCATATTAATGTACGAAAAATCCTTAAAAGCACTGAAAACAGATAAAACTAACTTATTCTCATTATCATTAAAGAATGTTTTAAAGATTAGTTTCAAAACATGAATGCACCCATATTAAGTACATAGTTGGACAGACAGAAAAAAAACCAATTTCTAAGAATAAATTCGCCGTAAATACGCAAGTATGACTTATAGTAGTTTTCCTATGTACTTATTTTGTTACGAGTTGTAAGTATTTAAAACACCTTTGTATGTGTATCTCTTTACATACGATTCTCATCAAAGACATACGGTGAACATTCTAATAAGGTTACAAGAAAATCAGGACAGAGCTTATGATGAAATGTATTTCGTAAACACAAGTTTAATAGTACTTATTGTTAACGTATTTCACATAAACCCTTAGTATTGTGCTTTAACATAAGTTAGTATGCTGTTATAATATATCACACGTTAACTAAGATATCCAACGAGGAAACATAATTCTATTATATGTGATATTATTTTGTATACTTTTGAAAGAGCAGTTGCAAAATATATTATTTTAATTTCAATATACCATGTAGACATTTATATATTGACTGTTATTCGGAGTGTCACTACAGAGGAAAATTGAAGTTTAATATCGAACCAAAAGTTATTTTTAACACACAAGAAGTATATATTATTTAATATTATGATGACAGAATAACTCTTACGTTCAAGAAATCTTTTATTTAATATCAAATACATTTGTGGACCTAATGATAAATTACTTTTAGATTTCACTTACATAAATGTTTTGTTTTTAATAATGTTTTTAGTAGTGTTTTAAGTTCGAAGACATCTATTCCCAAAAATTGTATAGTAATAAAAATAATTGCTTCTGTAACCTGATAAATACAAATTAATGAATATTTTATTATTGCTATTGTTAAGTTTTCTTGACATAAAACAAATATTTTTATGTTCATTTGCAATTTGCTGTAATGCTGTCTTTTGATATTTGGATACAAAATAATAATTAAATCTAAATGCAAATTAAAACCAATAATACTGCAAATAAAACAATTGTGTTAGGTTTATCTTAATATTAACATATCCAATACCGATGTTCTTTCATAGTATTGTTGGATATTTTAAACTGCAAGTAATATCATGACCCGAATATACATGTTTGTTAAATCGGAACAGGTCTAACCGTCTGTCACATTCCAAGTATTTTTAACTGTTAACAATCTTAATTAACAGAGTTTTAGTTCATAAGCCAGGAAGAGGATTGGGAAAGAATGGATAAATATTCTTACAAGACAATATTTCCGAAATTTTTGTCACATAACAAGATCATATAAACTAGGATATACCCTTATAATAAGGTGTTAAAAACGATAATTATTTACCTCATTATATGTTCAAAATTATCTCATTTAAAAATAATGTAATTTAGGTATGTATGTACAAGACTACTCATAGGTTCTTATACTATTAAAATATGCGTTGTTATTGAACAAAATCTTAAGGTCGACTGAATCTAGCAATTACACAAACGTTGCAGAAAGTTATTCTAAGCTTTTGTATCCAGTAAGATTTACTTCTCATTTACACTACCTATATATGATGAAATGGACATTCGCTTCTTGTATTTTCATAAATATTTATCACGGTAAGTTTACAAGATAAAAACATCTGCAGGATGTAAGCTTTTGCCAATAGATACCATGGCATGGATAACATTTGCCATAATTACATCTTAATATTAAAAATAAACGACTTTATAGTATTAAAATGCTGTTTTTATTTAACTGTACACTCAAAGTTTCGTTTTACATCTTCTTCAAGAGCGTTCACTAAAACACAAACCGAAACTGACAGTACAAAGCTTCAAATGGTTTAAATAATAAACTGTATTCAAATCTATAACGTCCATTAGTACAGCGTACTTTTGACATATTAAGTAGTAAAAACTTATTATTGAAATAATTAACTGCTACCTGTAGTAAACAAAAGTTCTATCAAGGTTACAAAGTAAAATAACAAAAAGATAGGTTAAAAAATAAAATAAGTAAAATTAGGCGTTATCCTTCTTGCAAAACAATATCCCCTACTTTCGCCAGCTTCTTTCAATCTGATATGACGTCTTGTGATGGGTAATGCGTATAATAAGGTCAATAATTAAGCTTTTCAACACCTTATTATAAGGGTATATCCTAGTTGATACGATCTTACTACGTGACGAAAATTTCGGTATTCAAGAAAGGATCGCGCCTATAATTTTAGTTATTTTATTTTTATCCTATCTTTTTTGTTATTTCACTTTGTAATCTTGATAGAATTTTTATTTATAACAGGTAGCAGTTAATTATTTTAACAATACTTTTCTTTCAAAAATAAGCTTTACTATTTAATATGTTAAAAGCACGCTGTACTGATGCACGTGAAAGATTCAAATATACTTTATTATTTAAACCATTTGAAGTTTTATACTACCAGTTTCGGTTTGTGCTTTAGTGAACGCTCCTGAAGAAGATTTGAAGCAAAACGTTGGGTGTTTAACTAAATAAAAACAACATCTTGATGTTATAACGTCATTTATTTCTAATATTAATATGTCTTCTATACATTAATATGCACTACAGAAATGAAATAAGTGCACATGTTATAGCAATAAACGTTAAATGAGCTTATGGAATGTACATTGTACAAATCATACAAAAGTTTCTGTCATTTTATTATTCTAATTTTATCTCACTGTTTTGAACAATATTTGTTACACTAACTGGAAGTCTATTTTTTTAATTTACTTCATATCTGTAATAATTATGGTACTTTAACCAAATATATCTAAAAAAAAATCCTAAATGTATTTATTAGAAAATACCAACCTGTATTATTTCTAATAAATCCAGCTTCATTTGTTCATACCACATAGCCGCAGAGCGACCACTTTCAACTTCGAAAATAAATAAAATTTGAATACACGTAAGTATACTATCTATTTTGTGGTGAGCAATTGTTCTAGAAATGAAATATCGTTATATGACCAAGAGTGACGTGTGTTATGAAGTTAAGTGTAAGGAACATCGGTTGAAGTTGAGAGAGGTAGAGAGTGTGACAAAGCGGCCGGTACCTGATGATGACAAAACCTTGTCGAAACGTTGTACATTTGCTGTTATGTTAATCTTATATTAAAGTTTTTCTTCATTACCCATTCAAGCCGTCTCCAGCCATTATTGGCCGGCCTTTGGTCAGTCTCTGAGGAATTGGAGGATTATAGTACTTTTAAGTCATTAGAAAACTACTAGAGTGAGCGGGTAGTGGCCGCCTTTCTAAGTTCAGTTGATATGAAGATTACTAGACCCCCTATGGTTATGAAACGCTATAATCCTATATATGGGAAACAGGTGCAAGGTCAGACAAAAAAAAGAGAGATCGTTTCGGCGTAGGTTTGAGAGAAGAATATAAAAGACAGGAGTTCAACGAAAGAGCGGAGAAGACCGGGAGATATGAGATAGAACGAATTAACCGAAAGAGAGGCAAAAGAAGAAGTTAATATTCTGCCAGTAAGAAACAAACCCTATTTTTAAATCTATGTGTCATTGAGTACAGCAATTTGTTACGTTTATATTACTATGAGTCAATAAGTACAACCCAAATAAAGTTGACGGACACAAGAAGAGAAAGCGGAATGCGAGAATAACACAATTGTAACAATGTGGATAGGTTAATATTCTAATGTTGCAAAAAGGTTAAAAATACACATGTAAAACAGACAGATCGAAGATGTACGTTACCGTCTTCTCTCATCTACGGTAGTTTATATGTTAGCTGATTCAGCCAGCCACAGTAGTTTCAATATATTACTGATCAATTATAAAAAACAACAACAAATGGCTGAAAACCGTATTCAAAGCTTCCAGTGTAATGATGTGACATGAGAACGTATTCACGTGACATCATTAGCCAAATTTTAATATTTGATTAGCCAATTACCAAATGAAGCTTATTTTGACTATGAGACAGAAATAGGACAAATGAAGCTCTCTCACTCTCATAACAACTATTTCTCATTGGACGTAGGATATTAACAATTCAACACATTCATTTTCATTTTTACAAACTAAATCAGTTATCATAAGACTAATTACACTGATGTTTGCTACCTACTTGAGTCAAAAATTATTGTTTGTATAGCTTTATCCTACCCTTAAAAGTCGGCTCAGTTTTAAAAGTTTTGCTATGATACCATAAAGTGCAATTATAATGTACTTCTTCACAAGTATCTCTCCAGAAACTTCGCCTGTACTATTCTTATGCATTTACATCTAAGGTATATTATCATGATTCCAATGTATTTCTGGTAATATACGTGTAATTCTGTAAATGGATTGTAAAAATGCATTTCTGGTTAAGTACCAAAGCGGAATTATTATTTAAAAATCATGTAGGTAGGCTTAGAACTTTCTTTTAGGATATTTATCATTTTACAGAACCAGATTCTAAATAAAGGAAGCATGTACACTTGTAAAAGTTTTGAACGTATTGTAATTGCCCTGATATACCAACTACGTGTGAACTTATGAGTGAATTCATAGAATTCAACAAGGAAAGGGGTTTACTTGACGTAATGGAATAACTTGGACATAACAATATACAGCCGAAACAGTTAATATACGTCATCTGCTTTATAGTATTTTCCTCGGGGAAAATATGTCACTTGTCTTCATTAGATTTTACACACCTCACGTCTTATATCAATTTTACATCCGTAGTAATAATCAAGACTCAGTGAATGCTGCAGACATACTCCTATAACATTGGTAAATTCCAACCAGAAAATATTTGAAAACCCATCAAGTGTAAGGAACTATCAAGATATCATGATAGAATATCCAGCAAGAGTTATGGTTTATCAGAACGAATAAAAAATGTTTCATGAATAACCAATAAAATCTATC